AGGTCTCACATGCTACTAGTGAAATTTGGCAGAAATCAAAGCTTGTTTGTGCTGCATATGTCTTTATCAATTTCTATTACAAAGAAATTTAGTTTTTAGTGTCCATCATTAAGATGAGATGATGTTCTGAGGAGGACTTCAAAGGCATCTGTCTAGTATACAGCACCATTAACTGCTTTCATTAATGTCCTGGATAATAAAATAAGGAGAATATTATTAGCTTTGCACATACTAAAGCCAAACCAGAGAGGACGGTAAGTGCTTTAGTGAAGAGCAAGGGAATTCAATTTAAATTTTACAAATTGCAGTGATGGCTTGAAATAAAAGGGACACAATTCAGTCACAGCACAGGCATTTTGTTGCAGCTGTCTTGCTTGTCCTGACCATGGGAAGGCCCATGTTAGATAAAAGCACTTAATTTGGGGTACTTCTAAAAGAGAGGAAACCATCTGGGGAGTGAGTAAACATGATGACTGCTGCCCCAGAAAGCATGAATTACTGGTAAAACTCAAAAGAAGAACTATTTTTCCTGAAGAAGAATATTTCAGTGATAACAGTCTTATGTGACAGCATTCATGTGATAGATCTTCAAATGTATACAACCATACTGTAAGGAAAGAGAAGAAATTGCCTCCGAGTCTGCTTGAGATAAAAACAACTTAGGCTGGCTACAGCTGGGAGGTGTTAAATGGCAGGGAGGCTTTTCTTGCAGCAAGGAATGGGTAGGCACTGGGATAACTTGCTTTGGGAACCTAATTTCCTACAGACTTTCAATGTCATATTATTGGAGACTGGTTGGATGTATTTGATTCTGCCACTGGATTAGAGGTAATCTCTTTAGGTCCCTTCCAGCCTGAAATATGGGCTGGAAATGTCACTGACTTCTGCAACACCGCTCAACATTTGAATGTCTGTCAAGCCAGAGCTAAGTGTTGGGCTCATCCTCAATCTGCCAGTTTCCACCACTGCTTCCAGAATGCCCTGAGCCATGTGATTGGGTGTGGAAGGACCATACGATTTGTACGGTTTTGTAATAACAGGAGCAATTTAAAATCTCCTTCCTCCATCTGAGCGATTGCTCAAAGCAGTAACTGAGCACATCAATAGAAGCAAGACATGGCTGCAGGCCTGGGGTGATTCCTAGGCTACCTGTGCTCAAGCATCACCTACATGAACTGATTTCTGAGCAATAATTACTCTGACCCCGTACATTCAGAAACCCTCATACATTTATTTCACAGCTGTCTAATATAATCTTGATTTAAATCCAAAACTCCTGATGTGGAACAGATGATTACAAATATAAGGCTTACATTAAAAGGAAATTAAAGAACAAAGACAAGAGCAATAAAGTCCAGGAGAGATGATTTATGAAGGCTGAACACACCTGACCTACATCTCCATGCTCTGCAACATGGTGCTTTCCAGGACACAAACCTGAGACAATAAATTCATTCGTTACTATTGTGTGTTATTGAGGTGTCCAGATGTCAACATAGAAGATATTCAGCTGATACAGTGCTCGGAAGACGAGTAGCAAAAAATAGTGGATGCCCTCAGTTAATCTGTGCTATGAAAACCAAGGATCCCAGTCCTATTATTTCCCTTCTGTTGTGCTATGGATGGAAACGCAGGAGGGCTGCCCCAGGAATGTGGCACCAGGCAGCCCAGGCAAGGCTGTAGGCTCTCAAAGCTGCCTGAAGCTGTGGCAAAGTCCAGCTGCAGAGGAAGGTGCAGAACAAAATCTGTAAGGACAAGGCATGTTGTAGAGGCATCAGATAGCCATTAAAAATCCTAGCCAGCCACATACAGCAGCAGTGCAAAGCTACATACAGCAGCAGTGCAAATGCAGAAAGTAAAATGACCTAGAAAAGGTTCCAGGAGATATGTGCTTACTAGGACTGGCCACCACAAGAGACCATAGGGATAAGCTTTCTATTAGAGGAATAAAATCAAGACGAAAAGATATTTCTGAGTGTCATCTCCACATAATTGAAAATTGCTTAAATAACACGCTGTCTGGCCTAAAATACACGTACCAGCATATAAATTCACTGATGGGATGAACTCTAAAGACAGACAGCATACACAGTGATGCCCGGAATACCAAAGCTTATTTACACAAACCACGCCTGAGCACTAAAACGCAGGCAAATGGGAGCATTGTTTGGCCCTGGCCAGCAAAGCAAAGCCCAGACATTCCAGCTTGCAGCCAGACACCACCAGCTTCAAGGCTATGCAGATACCCAGGGGCTTGCCTACAGCAGCCAAGGTGGAACTATAAAAACCCTCTTCCCTAAAATGCACTTGGTTAATTCGATCAATTTTACTCTTGAAAAGTGCAAGAAATGGGAATGTTTCTCAGGAACAAATTCCAGCAGTGCTGTGCACTAGTACACTTAGGGAATAAAAGAGTCAGGTCCTGCACTACATTTAGCATGAGTTCATTTATAGTCTTGAACCATAAAGAATATTTTCTGTACACACAGTGTACAAAATTGTACAAAGATGTACACTGTGAGAGGTGGCAATCCTAGGCTCAGTTTTGATGAAAATAATAGTTTCTTGCTTTGATAACATGATGACCTCACTTTCCAGTAGTCAGCACTGAAACAGTAATTTGGAAAGGCAATTAGTTTTTTAAAGCCAAGAGAGTATTAAAATAGCTTTTCTTGGTAATGAAGAAAAATAATGAAATCCAGAGCATTAAGTTAAGCTTTTCAATATTTTCATCCTTCTGTGTGTAATTCACTATTAATTAGGAACAGCTACAGTCTCTTTAGCAGAAGGATAGGACTGCTTAGTGATGTAATCCATCTTTTTTCCTGAGAAACCAAAATCTCACTAACTGTAATCTAAGGTTCTCTCTCCATGCTGTCACTCCTAGTGACTAAGTGTATGTTTTTATCACATCACTACAGGAGCAGTACGCACAGAAGCCCTTTGATTCTTTCACATCTTCCTCTTCCCCATCTCCTTTCTCTTGAATACTAAAACACCTTTCCCAAAGGAAAACTCTTCTATTTCTGTCCTCTCCTCCTGCACGTGGTAGGATCACAATGCAGGGAACAACTGTCACCACTCCACGTGAGCAACTTCAGTGCTACCAACAAAGTGACAACAGGAGACCAATAAGGGGAGTGCTTTAAGCTGATGAGAAGGCTGGAGGCTCTGTCTGATTCACCGGTGTACTTATAATTTGCCCAGAAAATGACCTAATAGCATTTCCCTGCTTCTAAGAGCAAGGCCAAGGGATAGTTAACTCAACCTTAAAAACTCCTACAAAGGTGATGGGAATTTTTCTCCCATTTTCCCATCTTGTAGGTGGTGTTAGGGCTTCTTGGGGGCTTCTGATATTTGGAAATATCTGAAAATGTAAGTATTTCCACCAGATTCTGATTTGATAAGTTGAATTGACAACATGTTCATTATTACATTCATCTTATTTACTTTTTGTCAGCATCTTAGAGCTTACAAATTAATTCTGACTGTAGCCCAAGGTAGAGGACTCATGACCACCAATAACACAGTCCAGTTTTCACATCTGTGTGGCTTTAGGGTTCCTGGAGCAACCCCTCGTGATAACAACCTCATGCATCCTCCCCTGACGTACTCAAAGCTTGACAATACACCTCCAAAATAAAAGTTAGAAATGAAAATAAACCTAGCAAGCTCCTTCCCAAGCTGCAGAACAAGCCCCACAGCATTGGGTCCCTTGCTACAGGTTAAGTGGGGTTGAGAAGCTGATGGTGTTGCTAACTTAGGAAACAAATCTCCTGAGCTTTATGATGTGGAAGGGCCTTCAGGAGGAAGGTTCAGAGCAACCTGAATTAAACTCCTGCTCTGAAGTGGCCTTGGCAGCAGATGACTACAGAAGGAGCAGGGAAAGGGCATGAGCTCTGGTCATTGCCTTCCAAAAAACAGTTGTTAATATTAAATCAATAAACACAGAATAAAGGAAAAAGGGAGAAATCAAAGCTCTCACTGATGTCCTCTCTTCTGCATTGTTTCACATAAAACCAATTAGGAAAAGTTAGAAATTAATCACACAGAAGACTGAGTTGGACTTTTAACATAGAATTTACCCATCACATCAGGAGTAATTACCAAAACACTTATTTTGCAGGTTTTCCAGATCTCAGCATTAAGGGCATAACATTAAAAAGTGCTTCAGGCTCCCATACAATTGCAGAGCAAGGATTTCCAGTGAATTTTGTGATGGTAACAATAACTGCTCACTTTTCTGCCTCTAACTTACAGGAGATCCTAACACACGGTACTGGCATTCAGTATCAGAAACTCCTCCTTGGTTAGCACGCTGACGTAAACTAAGCTCCTTCTTTCTATAATAAATTTTTGTTTTTATGTTAGATTACAAGTGTGCACATAGCGGCTGCCTTTCTGGTCTCCTCTTGCTCAGACTTTGCTTTAATGAATTGGATAGATCTAAATCCAAGCAGAGCAAAAGCAAGCTCAGTTTTTGCCTTTCCACCAAAAGTCAGCAGAGAACATTTTTCTATGAGTTGTTATTACAGTTCAGATATTCAAGCTACAGCTTTTGTAGATCTACATCTAGACCTCAATTAGAAACTGCTCAGAGGAACATCAAACAATTATTTCAGTTTCGGCTACGTAAGATTTTAGGTTTCTCTTTCAATTTTAACATTGTATGACTTGTTAAATGTATGACTAGGTTCTTGTTAAATGGCAGTCAATGTCATAAACAGTTCTGCTTCAATGTATGATCACTTGGAGAGAAAAGTATCCCTCTCTCCTAAAATGAGCATATAGATTTTTCACATTTACTGCAGACTGTTTGTTCATTCAATTGTATCTACCCAGAAATATGATGCGGCATTCTTCAACCATTAGAAAACGCAGAATCCTGTCACATACTTCTCTTCCAGGAATTCTGGTGTAATAATGAAGAGCAAAAAAAGCACTCATAACACAATACAGGTTCCAGACACACACAGTTCAGAGAAGAAAAGGTTACCTACCAGTTCAACTCGTCCGAAACCTCCGACTCCAAGGGTGTCAATGATGTTGAAATCAGACAGTTTCAGGTTGGCGAAGAAGGCAGCTTCGGCTTCATATCTGGATTTTTTTATGCGAAAAAATGGAAATTTCTTAGAGGTGCAAACATGAGTACTGCGCAATACTGCACCCGCATGGCAAGAGTGGGGAACAGTCTTTACCTGCTTTATTTCCATCTTATCTCTTAGAGTTTGATTCACGCTCATCATTTCACTGGTCCCAATTAGAGCATAACTCCAATTTGCACGGTTTGCAAAGTGCGAGAAGCAAATGTACCTACTGCATGCCTACAATGCACATATCTGGTACTGTAATTCAGCTCCAGCCACCCAAGAAACACTACATTTTGACATTTTCTATTGATCTTCTGGCAAAAAGAAGGTTGGCTTTTTTTTTTTTTTTTTGAGTATTCTTGGAAGAAAAGTCTCTTGTACAAGTTTCTCTTATCCACAGGCCAGCAGTACTTTCTATAAATGTTTATTGAAAGTGGCAAGATCATTAAGGTCCCTGGAGAGAAATCACAGCCAGGTTTTATGAAATCAGATCCGATAAGCTGAGGGCTGGTGTGCAAATGCCTGAAATGAATGACTTCAGTCACATATTAACATTCCTACAAGGATATCTTCACTTCTTTTCCTCCTATAAGCTCAACTTGGAGTAGAAATTCCAGCCCAGAGGTCCCAAAATCCAGATGCTCTCTCTTTAGCTCATGTGCAACTGGCTCGTAACTGAAGTTCACGAAGTTCTTAACTAGGGAAGCATGCAAATGCAACACATGCAAGCCTGCCAAAATAAGCTTCCCATGACTATCCTCATGAATATGATTCCTCAAAAATAGCTCCTTGTCAAGGTTTGTGGTATTTTTAGAAAAGCTCGGAAGGGAAATGGATGATCCACCCACTCCATAAAGTTTGACATTCAGCTGCCGGAGGAGTCCCCGGGCATGTACAACCTTTGGCTTATCAGTGACACAGACTTGTATGGGAAAACAGCACTGATGGTATCATGAAGAGAGGCATGGAAGGTGGAAAGGGGCTTACAAATTCAGCTTTCGGTGTTTGTCTTTAGCATATTATCTTGCAATTAACAAACAGGTCGTAATCCACTGTTTCAGCCAAACGCTTCATTTGAGCATGATAAATGCCAGAGCAAAGATAAAATATCATAGGGTTAGCCATGAGCTACCTGTCTTTTTAATGTATTTGATCCATCATGCCTGCCTCTGATCTAATAAGTAATGGGATGGCATTGATTTGCTGACTTAACTCCCTTCTAAACAACTTCTTTATTCTATTTACATCTGAAATGGCACTGGGGGAGAAAGTGGTAAACACATTTGTGGTAAAAGAGAAGAATGAAGAGAGGTGTCACAGAAGGTGAGAGATCACACAGAAAAGCCTGAAAAAGAATGCAATAAAGCACAGTTTTATCCTGGGGGGTGGGGTACTGTCAACAAACTAGATAAGCTCTGCTTTATTATTTATACTGTCACCAGATCCCCTCAGTGACCTTGCTCCTGTGACCACAGCAGCCTGACCGCATCCAATTTTGGAAAGTAATCAGCTCCCAGCCCGCTATGAACTTGGGATAACCTTGAGTGCCACGGCTGCTTATTGATCACTTCACTCTGATGATCAGGTGCGTGCGTGTTAAACCCAGAGCTGAATGAAGCACTGCTGAGTGAAAGACACATTGGTACATTCCCTTCTAAATCACAAAAGACATCATTTTAGGGGTGACAGTGCAATGAGATCGGATCTAATTTTCATGATGAATGTACAGATAGTGTATGAGTATCTTTTGCTTTCCTGACCAGTTAAATACTTCTAATGATTTATAATTGCTAGAAAGATGAAATCCCAGCTTGGAAAATTTCCATTCAACAGCAGAACAACTGAGGCAAAACTACTTGCCCAAAAAGCAGTGCTAAATTTGCTCAAGGCTTGGGATGCTAGAGGAAAGCATCCTTCCAGCTCAGGGAGGCAGGGAACCAGCGATCCCCTCTTCTCTGCTGGACAAGCCGTGAGGATTGCTCAATGTTGAGCAAGGAGAAGACGGCACATGCAAAACAGCAGCATATCAGAAGGGCTAGGGTCTCCAAATACAGGAAGGAAGGAGGAAAATTATCCTGAGTAATGGCTATATGAAGACGATGCACAACACACATCATGTGACATTATAGGACAAAAGTAGGTGAAATGTGCCCCTGTACTGGCAGGGCAAGCAGGATGCTAGCTCCAGTCCCTGCAAGTTTCACCAGTTCCTCTGGAAATGCTAAGGCAATGAAGCCTACAAAACAAATTGGACGCAGTTTTCTAGGCGTCTTGGAAACAAAAGAAATTCAAAAAATACACCGTGAAAAAAAAAGTGTGAAATCAAGCATGCAAGCCCTTCACACGCTTACTAATGGCAGTCACAGCTGAATTCTGTTTTATCCCCAGCAACAAAGGTCAAAGTCCCCTTTCAAATCAAACTCCTAGAGACTAATAAACCGGACTGACATACTTCAGTCATGGAAAGCTTAGGAGTAAATCTCTTCAGTCCCTTAAATAATTAGTTTCCAAGTTTGAATATCCTCAAGTCATTAAGTAAGTGACACAGCAGAGCATAATCCACATCCTAAAACTTAGAATATGTGTTCAACTGTCATATTTCAACTTTGTTCATTTGAGCACATCACTCTCTAAACAAAAACTACCAGGGCTTTGAGGCATGCCCTTTATAAAAATCTAGGAAAATATATAAGGGATATCTTAATTTTAACCTACACTGGGAGAGCAGTGCAAAGAAATACAGAAATTCCCCAAAAATATTGGTGTGTCTATAGGAATATGCTCAGATCTGCTACATTCAGAGGATGTTTGGCATATTCCCTGGGAACATAATAGAGATAGGATGAATGGCAGAGAAGGTCTGACCACACCTGCAAGCCAATAGGGAAATAACACAGCATTTTGTGGGAAAAATATCTGTGTGTCAGGTCAGGGCATATTCACTCTGGGCACTGCTTTGCAGATGCCATGTCTCTTCCCATCTGGTACTCAGAAGTCTAATGAGCAAGGCTCATTCTAAATATTCTAAATAATCAGCCACATAAAGGTAATTCGAAATTTGCCAGAGAGAAAAAAAAAAGTTTTTTTGATCTCTGGATGAGTTGGTGATGGAAAACATTCCTAATTTAAATTCCTACATTAATTGCACACATACACACAAAAACACACAAAAAAACACCAGATATGGAGAACCTGCCAAAACAGATCATGATCCAAATAGCGAGGAATAACAAAAAATCTGTGTTTCACAGTATCTTTGCCAAGTGCCTGCTCTCCTTTAGTAAAGAGCATTTAAAATTAAGGCTGTGATTTTCGGAAGAGCAAGGTATCAGCTCCCACTCTTAATGGGGCTCTTCTGTGTAACATAACAGTGTTTTGTAACCTACTCTATGGAACTAGTCTGACCAAGGCTCACAGTTTGCTCCTGCAGTTAACAGGAGAAGTATCTTTCCCACTGGGAATTGAGAACAGCTGAGAGGAGGAAGTGATCACAGTGAGGTCACATGTGAGCATCATGCTAAGTCCACCAAGCTCTTCTGCAAGGTTTCCTGCAAATCTGAATGACAGTGATAACTACTGAAATCTCATTCAAACAATAGTCTGCAATGAGAACTGACATTCTCCTATGGAAGAGCTGGGGTGTGGGACCACTATTTTTCTCCCAGTAATACAAATACCCTTACACTGATTAAAAGGACTTGATGTTGGCTCATCTTCAGCATGGACAGCCATGTGAGAAAGCAGAGTTCACAGGCAGATCATGAGTAAATACCGTTGCCCACATGTCCTTTACTTTGAAAAAGCAGCACTGGTGCCACAGCCGAAGCTTTCAGGCAGTGCCTGTTATGCAAAGCAGGAGAGGAAAACGTGGCTTTCTGCACTGCTGGAAATTTCCAACCATTTAAATAAGCAATTGCTTCACAGGACAATGATTACTTTAAAATACATTTTAAGCTCTCCTTCCCCAAAGTATAAATAAACAAAACAAAACAAAACAAAACAAAACAGAAGCATCATAACTAGGCAGCTAAAAAGAATAGAGGAGAAAATGATGGGTGCAAAGGTTTGTAATCACCCAACTGCTTAGCTTTACTAAACCAGCTCATGATTCCTATCACATGAACTAAATGTGTTGGGAAACATTAGACATCTGTTACCAAACAGTCATCTTGATATAAAAGTTGGCTTCTCTCCACCTGCGTGCTGCCAGCTAGATGTAAATTGTAACCAAATGGGAACCAACCACCAGCTTCTCCATAAGCAAACATAGTAATTTTGGTTGGATAAAAATCAGGATTTTGGAGCCTTCCTCACTGAGACACTTGTTCATTTAACAGCTATTTTGTTGGCCTTATACTCAGTTTTGTTGGTCCAGTTTCTGTAGCACCCATCATAGAGGCAATGCTCTTTTGCAAACAGAAATACAGAATCTCTGCAAAGACCTGAATAACCTGAGTTGCAAAGGTTGTATAGCAATGATCAGCTCCATCCTGCTAGAAAACACATGTCCAGTGAGCCTGAGAGCCACAAGTGGGGTGGGGGAAAAAGTCTCACAAAAGCAAGCTGTACTCTGGTGTCTGCTAAATTAGAGTTCTATCTCAGCGCATCTCCACATCATTCTTGCAATATGGCTACTTTCTTTCTACCATTCTGCTTCAACTGATGCTGCACTTGTGATTCTATGATTCTATGATTCTATGAAAGACAAAAACTCAAAAAGCCTCAAATTGTCACTGCTGTCACTATTTCTTTCTGTACTCCTGAACATACACGTTTTAGCACTTGGCAAAATAACCAACCTGGGACTACTTGTGGCATCCAGCTGCTGTTTGGCTGACCGCTATCCTGAAGTCACGGAAAAAATTCTGGAGAGATTAATCCTATTAAGAGGGATGCAATTCCAAACATGAATGAAGAGTGGCAGAAGATATGGATCGGATTCATGTAACAAGGAGGCTTTGTGTCTGAAAGCCATGCGAGGGAGAGTAGATGTGGCAAATGGTCCTA